CTGCCACTACTACTGCTACTGCCACTGCTACAGTACTGCTACTGCTACTGTTGTCCTGCTGTCGCTACTGCGACTACTTCCTTTATGCTTCCGCTTTTCCTGGTGTTGCTTTTACTGATGCCGACCTTATGTTGTATCTCGTTGTTTTCGGAAGTGTTCTCTTTACCTTGTCGTCGTTTTTTTTTTTGTTGTTGTTGTTGTTGGTGTTGCAGAGTTGGCGTTGGTTTTGGTGTCGGTATTGGTTGTTGCCGCAGCATCGACTGCTGTTACCTTATGTAGGTATTACCAGTGTCGCGATGTTTGCCACAGCAATGATTTACATGTTCAGCAAAGATAAACCCAGGAGCATGCATGTCTAATGGTACCATAGTGAGCCGTGCGCGTAGCAATAGAACATTCTCGCTGCCGTGACTATGTACATTCATAGTACAGGTCTTGCTGTGATTCGTTCCTGCCTGCTTTGTAGCGTTGTCAAACTATGAAGGTTCCATTGATGTTGCAGTCGCTGATAGCTGAGCCTTCTTGTTATCGCGAACCGATAGTCGAATGCCACGACAGGTAGTGGAGCAGTTGGGCATGCACCAGCTCATTCCAGGGGCGAAGCTGCCATCCGCGGACACGTACAGGGGGCCCGTCTCCATGCTTCGGAGGGCTTTCGAGGCTACAGAGAGCCTTGGCTCCCTCACCGTGGTACTGGCAGTTATGGACAACTCAACACGCATCCACGGCAAGCTGCACCCCATGATCGCAATCATCACCATAGGCGACTGCGAGCTGATTGTGCTGCGCAGGGTGAAGGGAGCCCGGCAACCGCTTGAGATCGTGTGCCACACGGAGATGCAAAGAATTGATGGCCATGCCCAAACACCTTTGCAGCTTGCCCGGGTGGATGCCCGAATTGATCCGAACTTTCACGAGGCCCTCACGATCGAAGTGATAGAACGAGGTAGTGCAGTTCACTGCGTCTCTGCATACGAGGGTGACATTGTCATCATGGGCAGCGATGGCGTGTTTGACAACCTCTACCTGGACGAAATCATGGAGTTGGCAAACGCAATGCTGCCTCCAACCCAGGCGGGCCAGCACTTCTCCGAAGCGCAGATGAAGGCTCTGGCCCAGCAGATTGTGGAGGCATGTCATGCAAAGACTCGCCCCGGCCCCATGGGGCAGCTACGGGAAGCCCCGATTGGTCGCGGAGGCAAGAAGGACGACACGTCCTGCGTAGTTGCAGAAGTTGTTGAGTGGACAAAGGAGCATGCCAGGGTCTGGTCGACTCCAGACGACGGCTTCGGTTGGAGCTCCATGATGAACAACTTCTTCCCGCTCAACTTGAACGGTTGTTGTGTGGCTTCCTACGACTCCGATGATGAGGTGGATTTGCGAAAGCCAGCCTCCAAGAAGCCGGCGAACTTCCAGAACGAGATGCAGAGTGGAGTTCACAACGGACAGTGGAATGGACAGCAGAGGGCCAACGGCCTCAGTATGCCCAACTCCGCTCCCAGCTCAGCACAAAATCCATCCAACTATCCCTACCCATCAACGTCCAGCATACCACAACCAATCCACCAAGCGGACCAACAACCCAGGCCAGTCCAGCCGGCCCAGCACGCCCAGCACGCCCCGCAAGCGCAAGTCCAGCAGGTGCAGCAGGCCCAGCAAGCCCAGCAGGCGCAGCAGTTGCAGATGCAGATGCAGATGCAACAGCTCCAACAACAGCAGCAACAGCAGATGCCGATGCAATATTCGGCAGCGAATCCATATTCAGCGCATGCAAGTCCATATGCTCAGCAGCCCCAACAACCAATGCACCTGAGACGCAAGCAGCTCCGAAAGCCGCCACACAGTCCTTTCATGCAGTCATCTGAGTAGCTGCCTCTGCACTGCAGGTATATCGGTGGCCAAGCAAGCAGTGCCGGTGCCGGTATCTGGGATGCCCAATTCACAAGTGTGACAGGTCTGAGAGAAGCCTTCTGCACGTCCAGACCCTAAAACCCAGCTTCCGAGGTTATGGTTATATGGCCGGAGGCTATTCAGGTGTCGCCAGCAATCCAGTGTATGGCCGGTAGCTGAGAGACCTGGTGCAAAGCCATTTCTGGAACCCTAAACCCTACAAGCACACCGTGTTTTCCTGAGGCAGTTACGGTGGCTGCGGCGCTTACGGCCGCTACGGCTGATCTTTGGGTCGCTTTTCTGAGCCGTCTCAAAGGTCTTTAAAGTAATCCAAGCTGCGACGTAGCTTTTGGATTCTGCCCATGAGAGTGGTTTTTGAGACGGCATAGCTAGGATCTGGTTCAACAGTGTAAGAGTAGTCAGCCACAATCACCGCTGACTGTAAAATTAAGTTTGTGCAAAGCCTGGAGAAAGCCTCCCAGAGCGAGGATATCATGTCGTCCGTGCGGCTTGAAGCACGAACCACCGGAGATGCTTCGTTCGGGGCTTGCCTTCCAGCAGTTTCACTTTATAGTGCAACATCCCGATCACTCGAGCGGGCTGTGCGGATAAAACCACGTCGTGCATCGGTTTTTGGTAAATGTGTTACGATCACGCAAAAGGGCCGGCATCCACGGATTCTGGACCCCCACACTTCCAGAGCTGCACAAAAATGCTCACAGAAACGTCGCCCAAAACCCTAAACCCACGGAAGCCCAATACATGCCCATGCACATACGCATACATATACACAGTACATAAACCCCAAACCCTAAACCCTGCTGTAACCCTAAACCCAAATCCCTCATTCAAGGCACTATAAAGGAACCCTGGAAGGAATCTGTAAGATCCTTGAAAAGAACCGTAAAGGAATCCTCTTAAAAGGGAACCCCTAAACCCCAAACCCTAGCACCCTAAACCCTAATACCCTAAACCCTAAACCCTAAACCCTAAACCCTCAACCCTAAACCCTAAGCCCTAAGCCCTAAGCCCTAAGCCCTAAGCCCTAAACCCTAAGCCCTTTTCGCAGGCCCCAGACTCCACCAGCCGGACGGAGCATGGCAAGAGCCAGAAAGAGCCTGGGGAGTCCCAGGCGCTCCTTGAAACCGGGCTTGGGGTTTTGGGGGTTTTGGGGGTTTTGGGGGTTTTGGGGGTTTTGTGGGGTTCTAGGGGGGGTTTAGGGTTCTAGGGGGGTTGAGGGTTCTAGGGGTTTTAGAGTTTTAGGGTTTTAGGGTTTCGGTTTTTAGGGGTTTAGGGTTTTAGGGTTTAGGGTAGGCCGCCGCCCTCGGACCGGGGCATCGGCCATGGGGGGGACCTGGGCCAAATTCTGGGTTTGGGGCCATTCGGGTCACAAGAAGAGGGTTTGGGGTTTCGGGTTTCGGAGGAATGTTTAGGGTTCACTCCTGTCCCTTCTGCTCTGAGCCCCATTGCGGTGTGCTGCCAGCCAGGACTATCAGACCATCTCTGTTTGGGATTGGCCGTCCGACAACGACGGTCCAGTTTGCACTGCAGCGGTAGGGACGCAGGACCGGCGTACTGCAGAGCCGCATGTGAAGGGAATGAAGCAAGTTGGAATTTCATCGTATCTGCTTCTGTCATCCCTGGCGGGAGGATGTGCAAACTTGTGTTCTCTTCAATGCATGGGACACGCACGAGATCGCAACCAACGGTCCGGACCCAAGTTGCGGCCCTTGGCAAAACTTCCAAGTCCTAAGCCCTGAACCCGATACCCCAAACCCTAAACCGCACGGCGAGAAGCCCCCTAAACCCAAAACCCTAAATCCTTCGACCCTCCCTACGGTCCTCTGGCTCCAGGGAAGCGCCGAGTGTTCTTTTGGACCTGGGACGTGGAGCAGCCCTTCCAGGCCATGCTGTGCAGCTGCTTCAAGAGGGTTTAGGGTTTAGGG